ATTTGGCCCACCGATGAACTCTGGGGGGTCTATAACCTTCTACTGTAAATAAGCACCTCCCAGCTTCACTGCAGCCGGATGTGGACAGTTCTGCCACCCCCCTCCCCCCTTACAGCCTGAAGCTCTGCCACCTTTGTGTCTCCAGTCAATTGGGACAAATAGCAATGGCTTGTATTATCTTTCTTATTATTCATTCCAATTTTCGACCCAGCATTTGCGATCTATACAGTACGTCAGTGTTTACCGCAGGTATAAAAGAAAATCTATACACACTCTTCCACGGAATATATTAGAATGCAGATTGTGCAAAAATGGCCTGATATCTGGGACTCACAATTAAGATGACAGAGTAGTGTTGCCTAAGAATCCCTATTCTGGGCAGGCAATGTTAATGAAAACACTAAGTGACGCAAGATCACCTAGAATTCACTGCATGTATATAGTGCTTTACATAAAGCATGGACCCACTTAGTCCACCACTAATGAGCAGCACCCTCATGGATGACAACCTTGCTGAGGGTCCTAAACACAGCCACACTCAGTCAAGGAGAGGAGGCGTGAAGGCCTTTGGCAGGTTGAGTTAGAAAACTTCTGTACGTTTTAAAAGGCACAGGCCTGAAATGAGACTACGACTTCATTTTCCAACATCGGTTTGATCATTTTTCATTTTTGAACCACCATTACTGTATCAACAGCCTGACACTCGACAAAGGAAGCAGCAGACACGCACCCCATGTCCACTGTTGTCGGAGGAGCGTCACCGGAAGAGTCGCCATGTAAACAGTTAAGGAACTAGGAAAAGAATAACAGACTGACGGGCATGAACACAGCGGAATGAAAAGCTGAAGTTAAAAAAAGAAGCACGACCACGATAAAAATCCTAGTGAGGAAATGCGAACATAAAAAAATGGTGAGATGAGAAGAATGGCAAGTGTACAACAGCTGCCTGGAGGATAACACTTGATTTTACAGCCTGCAGCAAGACACCTCCACTGCTGCCTGTTAATAACAGCAAGGAGAGACACTGGCAGGGAGGCATTAATCACAGATCACTGAGAAATGCACCAGATTCTTTTAATTTAATGCGCCTCTCTTTACATTTGCATTACAGGATTCGAGTACGGCTAGGGCACACTTTTTATTGGCCACACACTCTTGATTGTCTTTCCTTTGATTAATTCAGTCTCTGTCTGAGCATTCC